AAATGCTTCCCTGGTAAACAACAAACAACAACAACCACCTGCTATGAGGACATATATAACCATATCTACCATATCTTCTGGATCTACGATACTCCAAATATCACTTTAACTTACTCAATCCCTACTGACATGATACTCACCACTCTTTCATAATGCTGCGCAGCCTGCTCGGAAAGGCTACCGATCCTCCAGTCTCCTCTACCAGCTCCTCCAAGTCCCGCCGCCGTCAGAGAGACTCTGATGACGTTTCCACCATTTCTTCGTCTTCTCCCCGCCGTCGCAGAGGTGACCACGACCACCCCTCTTCTTCTTCAAGCTCCAGGCGCAAGTCGTCTTCCACTACTACTCCTCACACTTCCCGAGGTGACGATCGAGGAATTGGTCGAGTAAACGTAGATGACCATCACGCCCCTGCTTCATCCGCCCATTCCCCTGCCAGAAATGGTCGCGATAGCACCGCTAGATCAACGGCGTCTAGCTATGCAACAGCTGATCCAACGGGGAGAACCCAGGAGGACTATGATGGCTCTGTGCTGAGGCCAGAACATGGGCGCGACCATGATGGGCGCTTCGATGCACCCAATACTCGTCGCGAGCGGTCCAGGAGCGCTGATCGAGCTGATCGAAGGTATAGGAGAGAGAGGGAACGTGAAAGGGATATCAAGCCACATTCGCACCGGCGACCTAGGTCTGAAGTCATTGTTAACAATCCAAATGACTACTCCCGTAGTCGAGATGGCACTATGTCATCACCTGGAGATCAAGGGTTTGTGACGGAAATCTCTCAGCCTGGATTTATGCAATTTCCCATGCAACATGACAATACCTTTCCTGGTGCAGCGCCCGGAACCGGACCGTTAGATACCCATCAAATGTCTGTTTCGCACGCTTCTCCATACCCACCTCAACAGTTCCCGGCCGGCCCGCCACCAGCGGATCCAACGGTTCCAATTCCAGCCCCAGATCTAGGTGAGGCAGCGGAATATTATGGGGACCAAGGGGAGTCTGTAGCGACCCAGCCTGGCCTGAGACCCAATCCGCCATCCCTCATTGTTGGAGCTGAACCACATTTGATGGCTGCGTCAGCAACGCCAAATCCCCCCGCTGAACCATCGTCTATGGGACAAGTGGGTCATGCGGCCGACTTCTACGGCGATTCTTCACCAGAAGCTACTAATCAACAGCAGCAACATACCGATGGCCCCGGTTTTCCTGCCGATCTTCTGCCGGACAGACCCCCTAAACCATCCAAACCATCCAAGCCGGGAGGGCCAGGAAAACCGTCAGTCGCTGTTGCGGGAGTAGCAGGGGCAGCTGCAACTTACGGAATCAGTTCATTGATGGGAAGTTCCAATGAACACCACTCTACTTCCCCACCGTTTTCTCCTCACCACGAATCAACACTGCATCCCGCCCAGCAGCCAGACAATCCTCCGTTCAATGGTGGACGCCCACCAAAACCAAACAAGCACCATTCCATGCCTATTGTAGGTGCCGCCGCACTGGGCGCTGCCGCAGGATATGCCGCAGCGACAAGCCAAACGACTGTCTCCCCGCAGAGACCCAGCATGTACTCTGGTATCGTACACCAGCAACCCTTTCAAACGGCCCAGCCATATCAACCAGGTTCCTTAGCCTACCACCAACGCCAGCATGGTCCATTTAGAAAGTTTGTAAATTTCTGGAAAGACTCAGAGGCTGTCGCCCAGTATGAGGAATACTCCGAATACACCGGTATTTGCAAATATTGCTTCGAACCGGGAACTACTTCAAGGGATGCGCCGCGTAAACACCGCCCTGCCAGACTTAGGTATTCTGATGAGTACCGTGGTAGACAATCTAGAGTGGAAAAGTTGAGCAGATATCCCTCATCATCTGGTGACGAGAGCCGTCGTACAAAGTCTAACAAGAAATCTTGGCTTGCCGCCGGCCTTGCTGGTTATATTACTAAGTCACTTCTTTCTGACGGAAGCAAAAAAGAGTTTCATGATCTAAACAGTATTCATTCTGAGCGACCTGATAGTTTTACGACAAGTACTAGCGCTTCATCTCTAGGGAAGAAGAATCGTTCGTCTGAGTCACCTGCAAATTACTCTATTCGCAGTCGCTCTCCGATGGGACTTGACTCGCGACACCGAAAGGATGATGCAAGTTGGCATAGTGGTTCATATGAAACATCCCTCCACGGGAACGGTCGACCAAAATTCCGATCACGATCGCGTTCCCGATCTAGGTCTCGTGAGGAGAGACATTCCGGGTTGAGAACAGCAGCCACTGCTGCCGGTGCTGCATCCGTCATATCATCTGGATCAAATATGAGCCACACCAGATCCTCTATGAAATCCCGCGGCAGCCGATATTCTTCATCGAGTGGATCCACAATTGATATTTCTCGCAACCATAGTAAACCTGGTCTGGCTGGACTCACATCTTTCTTCAGTGCACCATCAGAAAAGAGACCAAAGTTGTATGCGAAGGTGGATGGTAAGAAGGCGAAAAGAAAAAAGAAGGCAAAAGGATTTTTTAGCTTCTCTTTCTCTTCCTCTGAAGGATCATCCGCGTCTTCGTTTTCGTCCTCATCCGATGATGCTGATCTGGCCTTCGGGACGGGATATATCAAATCACCACGATCTGCAAAAAGTAAATCCCAATCAAAAAATCGTACGGATGACCACGATGTTGATGCGGCACTCCTTGGACTAGGAGCGACAGCCGTGGGCCTTGCGGCAACGGCTTCGCATATTAAGGGGAGACGCAGACGCGACCGCCATTCTTCTGCCAGCAGCTCCCAATCACCGCATTCGATCTATGGGCGTGATCCTAAGCCTATCGGCATTTCTGAGCGGACTGATGATGATGGGTGGGAATCCGTATCCGATGAATCTTCCCCGTCTAGTGTGGATTCTGCGTTGGCATATGGTGGACGTGCGGCGCCATCTCTCTCGTCCGACTCGGGTACCTCTAAATGGGGTTGGAGGTGGGGCGGCAAGAAAAAGAGTTCAAAATCTACAAAGTATTATGACCAGCCTCTGGACTTGGGGCGGTACCCTCAACAGTCCACGGCTGGGTATCCGCCACATCAGACCCCTAGCAGCGTGGGCAGCTTGCCGTCAACGCAAAATGTTTTCCCAACACCCACGCAAAACCCATCGTTATATGACGTGGAAAACCAAAACTATTCTTCTCCACCAGACATTCAACCACAAGCACCCCCGTTAATGGCCCGGGCACCTGGCCCCGCTCACATCCAACATCCTCAACCAATTGTCCCCTTATCTCAAGCACTTTACACATCGCAGGCTGAACTAGCTCAATCCTACAATGTTCCAATCGGAGGTCAACTTGCCTTCCCGGGATCTTTTGATGAATACGACGATCGTCATGTACCTATCCCCGAATCGAAAATCAGACACGGAATTGCTCCATTAATGGAGAAATCATCAAGGGACGCTGGCTACTACGTTGACAATGGTAACAACCATTCCCCGCCACGCAGTGGAGGACGGCATCTTAGTTCCCGCAGAAGAGACTCTTCGCCTATAATTTCGCACGCGCGCGATGGAAGCCCTAGGCCAAAACAACCCAGGCGTAGTACTATGTCTCAAGTTCAATTTGATCTTACAAAGGAGCAGGAGGATAAAGAGCGCCAGCAGTTGCGGTATGAGGAGGAAAAGGAAGCTAGACGGCGTGCAATGGAATTACATGTGCTGGCGGAGAAAGAAAGGATGGATAGGGACGACGAAGATCGTAGTGTGGAATGGGAACAGAGCCGTGAGCATGAGCGCCAGCGTGAGAATGTGGATAGGAAATCTCGTGAATCGACTTCAAGTGGTAGACGTAGCGATGTGACTGAAGCGTCTAGTTCATCCTGGGTTTCCCCTGTTGCGGCTGTGGCTGGTACTGCGGCTATCACGTCCTTGGTAAGTGAATTGGATGAGAGGAAGCGACATCAGGAACGGCGGGAAAAGAGGAGGAAGGAGAGGCGCGGGTACGCCGGTGAGAGAGAGCAGGAGATTGAGGAAGATAAGGAAGGGGACTGGTTTGAACCTGTTGCCGGGCCCATTGAAGAGGGCAACGATAAGATCAATAGCGTTGTCAGCACCGAGCCTGATTTTGATATCAAAGACATCCCAACGACGAAGATTCGCCTTGCGAAAAGAGCAGCTGATCGCGTTAGGTCATCGCCTGTTTATGACAATTATGCAGAATACTTCGTCCCACCAGACGTACGATCTAGCGGTGATGAGCATTCTACCCATTCCACTTCGGACGTAGAGTCTTCGTGCCCACCTAGTCCTAATGTCGTTCTCATCGAACCGCGGAGTGTCCGACTCGAGAGGGAAATGGCGGCTATGTTGGCGGAACAGGGGGTGCCTGAAATTAATCTTCCCTGGCCTGTTCCTCGCCTTAATTTAATAACGCCTACGCCGCCACCGAGTATTGCACCATCTGTCGTTGACGAGAAGGGCGGATGGCCACCACCTATACCACCTAAGGATCTTTCGGATTCGCAGCGTGACATTTCCCCGTCTCGAATTGGCGATCCTGTTATCGATATGGATGACAAGTGTGTCCGTGAGATTGACGCTGCGGATATCATCTCTGAACATGTTAAAGCTGCGGACACGCTGCACGATCCTGAGTTAACAACATCAGCCTTGCCACAACCACAACCACATGAAGAAAGGGACGATAGTGCAACGAAACCGCTTGAAGAAGAACTGAATGAACAACCGCCCAGTGTTGTGACTGAAGTTGAAGATGACTCCGTCGATGAGGAAATACCGCGGCACGGGCACATTCCCGGTGGCTTTGGAAACGATTTCGAATTCGCTGCAACGCTCGCTGCTGGAGCGACGCTGGCAGGCTTCAGTTCCGCTCTTGTCACGGAGGATCCCACGTACCACCAACGCGACTCGCCACCTGGATCAGAGGAGGAGGGCTTTTTTGCTTCCCCGATTGCAGGGGCGATTCTAGAACGACGGGGTAGCCCTCCTGGTGGTGGGAAGTATACTACTATGACCTTCGGATACGTTGAGGGTGGGGAGGTGGGGCATTCTGATGATGATGGCTTGAAAACTGAGGGAAGCACCGGGGCGGTTGTTGTTGATGAGCTCCCCGAGGATACTGGCGGCGATAGAGGAGAGATTCTGGAACGCAGTGGGAAGGTAATAGACGCTGGTTTCATTACGACTACTGCTGAAGTAGCCGAGGGGAGTGATGAGAAGCCGGCAAAACTCTCGAAGAAGGAGAAGCAGAAGAATGATACGGCAGCTCAGCGGGAATCTCAGGGCCGTGATGAAGCCTCTAAATCTGCGGAGAAGCCCCCATTTGAATCAGTTGCCCTACTTGATCCACTCGCAGAGGAGCGGAAGGAGTTTGAGATTTTAGAATCTCCTCTTGCAGAAGCGGGAGGGTCTGTACATACCACCCCAACGACTGACAAACCTTCCAGAAATTATGATACAGTGGATGATAACGAATTCTATGATGCTGAGGACGGATCGCCGCGCCATTTAGATGAAGTCAATGGTAAAGAGGAAGATCGGGAGACTGTTTTTGCCGATGTCGATGATCGTGATGATGATAGGAGATCTGTAAAACAAGACGACCCCGTCACTGATCCCAACAAATCCATTTCTGCGACTGATCCTGTTTCGTACAGTGTCCAGCAGGACGTGGAACGGGGCGAATCCGAAGAGACGGAAAAGCCATCTAGAACCGACCAGGATGAATCCACTGCAGAGGGTCAAGACCGACGTTCCATGCCAGGGAACTTTTCTGAAGAATCCAAGCAGTCGAAGAGAGCGAAGAAAAAGGCGAAGAAAGCTGCCAAGGATGCTGCCTTGAAAAATGATAACTTTGAACGTGGACCTGATCCGGAGCTGGAACCCGAAGCGCAAGTTGAAGCGGAAAAGGCACCTGGTCGTTCCGTAGAACCTGATCCTGAAATGGAGTTTGACATTATCAATGCTAGTAAGAAGAAATCGAAGCGGAAATCTAAG